CGGCTTCGCTCTCATCCCGGCGACGGCTGAGCTCCATGTCGTCTCCCAGCCAGCGGCCCGAAGGAAAGGCGAGAGGTCGGACGCCGGCTCTCGCGACGCTTCCTCGTCACGTCACGCCTTCATCGGGCCGCGCGGCGCCCGCTCAAAGAGGAACGAATCAACGTCAAAGCTCCAAAGCGAGCTCATGTCGACTCCAAACAATGCGCCACTCGCTCAAAGACCCCCGCGCGCGCGCGCGCGCGCAGCCCGACGGGGCAAAGTAGTCAAAAGGGGACGTTCATTTCTCGGCGACGGAATCGCTCAAAGCGCAAAGCTGAAGCGGCTCAAAAGTCGGCGAGGGCGCCAAAGTGTCATCGCGTCGGCCCTGAACTTTTTCTGGGTGACTCCGTTCGGATGCCCGATCGCAGCGATCGATCGATGGGAGACTGGCAGGTGGGGGGCCATTCTTGTTCTCATCTGGCATCTCCAATTCTTCTTCTTCTTCTTCTTCTTCTTCTTGTGTCGACGGTGGTCTGAGCCAAGTTCCTGAAAACCAAGATCCAGTCGCGACCGGAGCGTGGCACGCTCTCCCCGGCCCGAGAGGAAAGATCCCGGATCAGCGCTTGTAATCTGCTCGCCGACTTGCGGTCCAATGGCAGCGAGGCCACGCAAATCGTCAGCGTGACGCCCGATTTCCTGTCCACTCTTCTTCTTCTTCTTCTTCTTCTTCTTCTTGTGTCGACGGTGGTCTGAGCCAAGTTCCTGAAAACCAAGATCCAGTCGCGACCGGAGCGTGGCACGCTCTCCCCGGCCCGAGAGGAAAGATCCCGGATCAGCGCTTGTAATCTGCTCGCCGACTTGCGGTCCAATGGCAGCGAGGCCACGCAAATCGTCAGCGTGACGCCCGATTTCCTGTCCGCGCCTCGGCCTCGAGGGCCCGCGCGGCTTTTCCCGATCAGAGCAAATGGACGCAACCCGCTGCGATTAACCCACAGAGCTGACCGACACGCTCGCCGCCGGCCGCTTCCTTCGCCGTCTCGCTCGTTTTGGCTTGTAGCCGCCTTGCTGGTTGCCATGCTCGGTAGCCGCAAGCGCATCGTCACTCGCCGCCGTGGTCGAGTGTGTTCACAAGCCCCCCTCCGAGCCGCTGAGGCTACCAAGGGCGAGCGCGTTCCTCGACCCGCACGCGACCCTGCCACCGGCTGATTTGCTCCTGCGGCGGGGGCTTCAGCAAAGGCTTTTTCGGAAGGACGGGAACGCGCGGGAGGGGAGCGCCACCTGCGAGCACGAGCGGGCGTCGGTGCCGAAAGGTGAGGTG